GGAAAGGCTTCTTCCTCCTCCTGAAGATGGAAGCAACAAGAAGAAAACTTGTAATGGTAAAGGGGAGCTGAAGAATTGCAGACCAGCAGAGAGACTGAGGCATGCTGTTCTTGGCTAACAGAACTCAGAAGAGGGAAGGTCCAAGGACTAGTGGTGTACAACTTGAGGTAACTGTGGAGCTCAGACTGGGAGTTGAGGAAATAATGGGGATGAGACCGAAGTGCAAGGACGACTCAAGATGCGTTTGAACAACAGAATGGAGGAAAGTAGAAGGATGTGACTGTAGGACAAGGCAGAGAAATATGACTAGCAGAGGAGTTGAGATTTGAGGAATAAATTTGTCGTGCTGGAGATTTTGAAGAGGAGAATTGGGGAGAAATATAAATAGGCAGAAACCTGAAATTAGGGTGTCGGGGAAGAAGAGAGAGTAGCCCATGAGAATAGAGGCATAGGACACAATGGAGCTTGCCAAGGAAATGAGCCTTGGGGGGGATACTTGGCTGAAATACAGAAGACTCTGAGAGACAATAGAAGGCAGAATGATCTTCAGACAGAAGGCAGAATGGAAGAGGAGGACCAGAGACTTATACCAGTGTGAGGAAGAAGCAGGTTTGTGTGCCTGGAGTCTACTTATTGGGGAAGAGATGCAAGGTTCTTGCTGAATTTGAACTAAGAAGATGATGATTGCCAAACTACAGAAGATTCTCAAAGCAGTAGAGGTTCAAGTGATTTTTCAATAGAACTCCTTCAGCTCATATAAAGGGGGGAGGGGCAAAGGCATATCAAGATAATGGAGAAAAAAAGATGGCTTGAATTTGTGCTCCAAGGAAGGAATTGGGATATCTTAACCACTGGGGCAACCACAGGAAGAACTCTTTTCTCAAAGGCTAGACTTCATGTGCGTACTTCAGGAAATAGCCTTCTAGGATTAAGGCTGGTACAACTGATAAGAGTATTAAGCGAAGAAAAGAGGGGAGAAGGTAGAGGGGCAGTGTAGGATGACCTCTGTGCCTGGCTTTAGGTCACAGCAGGATATGACAGCAAATAAAGGAATATCAGTGGGTAGAAGGATGGATCGCAAAGAAGAAGTAATAATAATGATGGGAACAGTAGTGGGTAGCTGATACAGTTAGTGACAGGATAGGATTCTGCTAAGGAATCCTATCAACTAGTGAACTGGGTGCAGTTGGTAAGAAATAACTGAAATATTTGTATGCTACTACTAGGCAGATGGAAAACAGAATGAAGCAATTTAGGCATAATAATCTTAGATGTAAAACCATATATTATAAGACTAACAGAAACATGGTGGAGCAGCCATCACTGGAAGACAGTGTTGAAGGGTATGTGCTGGTAAGGAAAGGTAACAAATTAACAATAATTTGCAAGTTATCTTGATTTATTAATTTTTTTTTATTTTATAGTCTGCATTATTAAGGAACAATGATAAAACAAGGTCATCCTTCCTTAAAGCAATTTTGACTGTAAAATAATTCTACTGCATTAGGGTTGGAAGTGTACTTTGGATCCTCAGGATCAAATATGGGTAAAAGTAGAGATCTCCCTAATGGTCTTTAGGGAGTAATGCCAACAATTGCCATTATAGGAAACTTGTCAGATATAAATTGGAGAGCGGATGCTGCAAATAATAGTAGGGTCCATTTATGTTTGGGCCCTGGATCTGATAGCAAATAGTTCTTTACCAAATAGGTATTGAAACAAGAAGTGTTGCTTATTTCTTTTGATTGGTAATGAAGGCTGTGGTGGGCTAGTAGGGGGAGCTCCTGTGCTGAGCCACCTACCTCACTGCACCTGACCGCCTTCCAGGCTCCGAGTGCCTTCCTGGGGGCACCTCACATCTGGCTGACCCCCTTCCTGGGGCACCCCCACAAGCCTGGAGGTACCTGCACCACTCACGAGTCTTGGTCTGTTAGTGGCTCTGTGCCTCGTGAGGTACATAGGCTTTATAGACCTGAAGGGGGTACTTGGCCATCTGCAAGAACTTGGGGTGCTTCCTTTAGTCTGAAGCATATGTAGTGGTCTCCCTTAGCCAGGCCAAGGGGACCCTGAGGTATAGTCTAGACCCTCTCCCAGTAAGTCTCCCTTGCTAGGTACAAAGGAGAACTTTATTGATTACAGTGAGTAGGTTTGGAATAGCATACAGGGTGGAGCAATATCAAAGAATAGCCCTTAGCGCAAACAGTAGCATCATAGCCTTTGATCATGCATCTGAGTTACTGCAAGCTATATATCTAGCCAGATCTCGAGTAGCTTACTCACAGGTATCATCCAGAGGAAGGTGGAGATTCCCTCTGGAGGCCAGTAATTCATTCTCTATGAGTTTCAAGAGAGAGAGTGAGTTTCAGATGGTCCAGCTTCTCTGAGAGTCTTCATCATGGCTGTCACCCTTCTTCCTGGGCAGTCTTTAACTTAAATAGACCTTATGACCTCATTTACCTGATCCAGTGAAGGCCAGGAGTTGTAGGCTGCTAGACAACCAATTTGAAATGCAGCACTGGTTGCCAGGTAGACTGGCAGGGTCTCTAGCCTTGTCCCAGTCATGATGTCATTGTTTAGAACAAAGCCCCCCCCCCCCCCCCCCAATCCGAGGTGTATGAGGCCAGTCGCGTGGGCAGAGGGAGCAGGTTCCTCCCTTCCTCAAGAATGTATCCAGCTCAAGTTACAACTCAGGGTTACCTGAAACAGATGGGGCAGGGGGGGTGCCTGCTCTCTTCAGTGACCATGATAACCAAGTTGTCAGATAGGTAATAAGCCTGATAGCAGAGTTTGGGGAGAGACTGGGATGGCATTCTTCCACAAAGGCATTATAGGAGAGTTGATCATTGAAGATGATCTTGGATTCAGTATTCCTGTGTGTTGATTCTATTTTTTTAAAAGAAAGCTAAAAAGAAATGGGTGTAATGCTAACAGTCTCCTTTTGAAAAGGGTGAATGGTCAAATTGAGGGAAGTAATAATTCTGGACATGAGGATCTCGGAGACTGAAAAAGAATTTTCAGATCTCTTCCATGTTCATGTCAAAGGTGCTAAAATTATTAGGAAAAGCTTATAGGCAGGGATAAATTTTACGATGCTCTGCATGAAGTGGTCAAAGGAATACCATCAACTGAGCAACTATTCCTCCTCAGAAAATTCAGCGTAAGAGTTGGCACAGACGACTCATGGCCAGATTGCCTAGGACACTTTGACATCGGCAAGATGAATGAAAACGGCCAATGACTTCTTGAGTTCTGTGCCTAAAACCAACTGCATTACTGATTCATATTTTTCTGGAAAAAAGCAGCACAAATTGTCATGGGGATGAAAGGCGGACATCGCTGGGTGTCCTGGACGCTGACCACCTATGAGAAGGTTAAGGGCCTGGTGGTTGTTAGGCCTCCTCAGACAACCCCAGGGCCTTTTGTATGCTCTGTTTGGGGTGGATTTGGGGGCCAGGGATATACATAGAGCTACAGCCTGCCCTCATATAACCTATAAATACACAGAGACTCCAATAAAGTTCAGAAGTATATTATAAACTCACGATCACAACAAAAAAGATTAACAGTAGGAAACGTACATAACCAGTGTGTACAGTTAATGCTTGATGTTAACTTCAGTATACCATAAACAGAACTGCTGGGGGCAGCGAAGGGCAGCATCAGGGACTTCACAGGCTCACTGAGCTAGAGTGACAGTCAGGCCCTTAGTTTTTTTCCCTCATAGGGTACTCGGACTGAGAGTGAGGAACGGGTGATCACTGATAATTACCAGTCCAATGGATGATTGAGGTCCTGATCCAATAACACTTTTACAGGTAAGTATCCAATTATAATCCAGTCCAATAGGTCACCCCTCTCTCTCACTGCTACAGTCACTACTCATATGCCTCAGACACGCAGATATGATCACCAACCAAGTAAGCTCACACACCATTCAAACCTCAAGTACTCTTAAGCATCCGTATTCCATTCACACTGAATCACACTTAAATACTCACCAAAATTGCACCAGGTGTCAGTCATTTGTCTCACCAGTCATATTCACATGCACATGATACCCTACTATTGTACTCTCGGTACTCGGGTGTAGCACATGGCACTCTATTGGACCACACAAGCTATTGCACGAGCTCCCCAGATGTAAGTGGATCACTGACATCATCAAGGTGGAAAGTTTAACTATTCTAGAATCTTCCCACCTCTGAGCATGTGAACACTGATTAGAAGGGATCTTGTGTTATGGACCACATCCAACAGGGACATCCACGATCAGGCCACTGGCACCAACCTAGACCATGGTATTGTTAACAAGAAAGATCTACCTTCAGTGCAGAAGACCCACGCATTCCATGGTGCTGACTGTGACACTGACCACTCCCTGATCATTAGCAAAGTGAGAATTGGAGCCAAGAAACTACGTAGAGCAAAACCTAGGAGCAAGCCCATAATCAATACCACTGACACCAAGAACCAAAGGAA